CAGAATGGGACTTTTGGCGGGCTCAGCAGGGCAGAGACAGCCTGGACAATTCTATTGGCTTTTGAAAGCCAATAGAATTAGACTCTATTCAAGAGAGTCTATTCTATTGGCTTTCAAAAGCCAATAGAATAAAAGGGAGTAGCACAGCTAAGGAAAAGGGGGGAAAAATGGCGGACAGCCTTGTTTGATGACCCCCGTGAAATGGTCGATTGACCCCAAATGGGGTCCCGACCCACAGGTTGAGAACCACTGGTGTAAGTTCTGTTCGAACAGGGGGTTGGACTAGAAGACCTCCGAGGTCCCTTCCAGCCCTATTATTCTATATTCTAGGTTCAAAGAGCCTCCTCGCTTCAGGTAGGCGGATGGGACAACATCCCTTGTGGGGCCCATGACCCAGACCTGTCAGGAGGGTGGCAGCTGTTGAGATCTGGCTGGCAAAGGCTTTTGTCAGTTGCTTCCTGTTTGCGTGTGCAAATTCCCCAGGTGTCCCTGGGCAGGTTGGGGCCTGGGCTGGGTTGCAAGCTCATTTGGCAAATGTGCCTTGCCTGCAGTTGATTTCCTGTTTGCTTTGCAGCGTGGAAATATTCCTTGTGCCACAAGGGGCAAGACCCCACAGAGGGAGCGAGGGGAGGAGGGAACACGGAAGAGAGACAGTGGGTGGGTGGGTGGATGAATGATGGAGTAAAGGAAAAGGGAGGGAGGGAAGGAAGGAAGGAAGGAAGGAAGGAAGGAAGGAAGGAAGGAAGGAAGGAAGGAAGGAGATGGGAATAAGAAGAAAGGAAGGAAAAGAGAGGGAGGGAGGGAAAGATGAAGGATAGAAGAGGAAGAAACTTACTATGTGTAAACTTCTCAGAAACAGAGTCCTCTGGATGCTACTTGTTGAGAAACACAAAAGGAAAAGTTTTCCTAAAAACCAGATTTTGGAGAGGTCCAAAATTACAGCATCATCCATCTATTGACAGAAGACCACCTTGCTTTAGTTGGAAAGCCCAACAGTGAAGGAGGTTTATCGCATCGTAGGCAGCCAGTTCCACCTCTATGGACACCCCTGGACCCATCAGTTCCTTTGCCTTTTCCTTTCTTTCTTTCTTTCTTTCTTTCTTTCTTTCTTTCTTTCTTTCTCTCCTTCCTTCTTTTTCTTTTTCTTTCTCTTTCTCTCCTTCTATTGACAGAATACCACCTTGCTTTAGTTGGAAAGCCCAACAGTGAAGGAGGTTTATCGCATCGTAGGCAGCCAGTTCCACCTCTATGGACACCCCTGGACCCATCAGTTCCTTTGCCTTTTCCTTTCTTTCTTTCTTTCTTTCTTTCTTTCTTTCTTTCTTTCTTTCTCTCCTTCCTTCTTTTTCTTTTTCTTTCTCTTTCTCTCCTTCCTTTCTTCTTTTTCATTCTTTCTTTTTCTTTTCTTTCTTCCTGTCCTTCCTTTCCTTTCTTTCTTTTTCTCTCCTTTTTCCCTCTCCTTCCTTTACTTTTTTCATTTTTTCTCTTTCTTTTTCTTTGCTTTCTTTCTCTCCTTCCTTTTTCTTTCTTTCTCTCCTTCCTTTCCTTCTTTCCTTCTTTCTCTTTCTCTCTCCTTCTTTCTTACTTTTTCTTTCTTTCTCTCCTTTTTCTCTTTCTCTCCTTCCTTTCCTTCTTTCTTTCTCTCCTTCCTCTTTCTTTCTCTTTTTCTTTTTCTTTCTTTCTCTCCTTCCTTTTTCTTTCTTTCTCTCCTTCCTTTCTTCTTTTTCTTTCTTTCTCTTTCTCTCCTTTCTTTTTTCTTTTCTTTCTTTCTCTCCTTTCTTTCTTTCTCCTTCCTTCCTTCTTTCTTTCATCTCTGAAAACAGCTGAGAGCACCAAACCTGGCTAAGCTAGAACAAAAACCAGCGCAGCTCAAAGCCAGCACCAGGGAGCGTTGGCTAATCAGCCCAGCGCTGTCGAGAGAAGATGAATGCTTAGACCAGCCTCTTTAACCCAGCACTCCACACGTGCTGGGACTAAAAATCTAAGTTCCCAGAGCACGTCTGGTGGGCTCCAACTCAGGGATGCTGCTTGCAAGCAGGACCCCAGGCATTCACAGAAAACAGACTCATTCAGGTCCCTTAAAAATCTGGTCGCTTAAAAATCTTGAGTCTCACTACACCCGTCCGCTGGTTGGGAAAAGCCCCCAGTGCAGTGGTTCTCAACCTTTTTAATGCCGCGACCCCCCAACCGGTCGTAAGTCGAGGACTACTCAACCGGTCGTAAGTCGAGGACTACTCAACCGGTCGTAAGTCGAGGACTACTCAACTGGTGCAGCACCGTTTGCAGAAGGGGACTTTGGGCGGGCTCAGCAGGGCAGAGACAGCCTGGACAATTCCTATTGGCTTTTGAAAGCCAATAGAATTAGACTCTATTCAAGAGAGTCTATTCTATTGGCTTTCAAAAGCCAATAGAATAAAAGGGAGTCGCACAGCTAAGGAAAAGGGGGGGAAAAATGGCGGACTGCGTTGTTTGGCGACCCCCGTGAAATGGTCGTTCGACCCCAAATGGGGTCCTGACCCACAGGTGGAGAACCGCTGCCCCAGTGGAAGTCTTGCCTCTTTTTACTACAGATGGTCCTTGACTTATGACTAGTTGCTTAGCAACCATTCCAAGGTGCGATGAACCCCCCCCTCAAAAAAAAAAAGATTGATATGACAAGGAGTCCAAGTTCCAACATCTACATCCCTGCAGTCACGAGGCCACGTTTTGGATGTTCGGCAGCTGTGTGCCTCCGCTAAGCAAAGGAAACCAACGCGAGAAGAATTTCTAGGCCGGCTGGGGGATTCTGGGAGCTGAAATCCACGGGTCTCCACATTGCCAAAGTTGCACACCTTTGCAATCCACCATCCAAAGCAACACGCAACCTCCGGCAAACGGGCCGTCGGGCAGCTGGTTGCGTGAATGGCCCTGGGGAAAGGCTCCGTGGATAAATGGAGCTTTTCCACTTTGATGGCTGTTTTTATTCCCTTTTAAGAAGAAACTGGACAGTCCTTTGGTCTGACATGGCATTGGGTCTCCTGCTTGAGCACGGGGTTGGACTAGAAGACCTCCGAGGTCCCTTCCAGCTTTATTGTTCTGTGATTTCCAGTCTCTGCCATGGGAGGCTGGAGGTTGGGGGGCGGGGGGGGCTGGTCCTAGGCTGGTGTGTTGTGTGTGTGTCTGTCTGTGTGTCTGTGTGTGTGTGTGTGTGTGTGTGTGTGTGTGTTGCTGCAATTTTAGTCCCGGAGCCAGAAGGCAGCAGGGCACAGCCCACCGGGCAGCTGGCAAATTCACAATTCCATCTGTTGATCTCTCCTCTCGGTAGCCTGGAAACCGAGCCGGGGAAATCAAATCTCGCCTCCCCAGGGAACAGATTTCCTTTCCAACCGGGAAGAAGCGGAAACCTCTTTAAAAACGAATGCAAAGAGCAGAAACCAAGAATATTAGACTTTAGCTTTCTCTCTCTCTGGCTTGGATTGGTCTTTCCGCCACCCACCGTCTCTTTCTTAGCCTCCTTTCGCCCAAGAGGCAGCCAGGGTGATTGGTTGGATTTTTATCCCCCGTTTACAGGTCATCCTTGACTTATGACCACAGTGGAGCCCAATATTTCCATTGCTAAGCAAGGCAGTTGTGAATTGTTCCTCCTCCTCCTCTCTGCACACCCCACTCCCTTCTAGCACTGATGATGTTACCTAGTTGGGTAACGAAACGTCTGCAAGAAAACAGCCAAGCTCAGAGAGCACCAGGGATCCCACAGTCTCCTCCTCCTCCTCCTCTTCCTCCTCCTCCCAGAACCCCCCCCCCTTCTAGCACTGATGATGTTACCTAGTTGGGTCATGAAACATCTGCAAAAAAACAATCAAGCTCAGAGAGCACCAAGGACCTCACGGTCCGTTTCCTTTTTTCCTCCTCCTCCTCCTCCTCCTCCTCCTCCTCTCTGCGCACCCCTACTCCCTTCTAGCACTGATGATGTTCCCTAGTTGGGTCATGAAACATCTGCAAAAAAACAATCAAGCTCAGAGAGCACCAAGGACCTCACAGTCTGTTTCCTTTTTTCCTCCTCCTCCTCCTCCTCCTCCTCTCTGCACACCCCTACTCCCTTCTAGCACTGATGACGTTCCCTAGTTGGGTCATGAAATGTCTGCAAGAAAACCACCCAGCTCAGAGAGCACCAAGGACTGCACTGTCTCCTCCTCCTCCTCCTCCTTCTCCTTCTCCTCCTCCTCCTCCTCCTTCTCCTCCTCTTTCTCCTCCCAGCAAGCCTCAGTCCCTTCTAGCACTGATGATGTTCCCTAGTTGGGTCATGAAACGTCTGCAAGAAAACCACCCAGCTCAGACAGCACCAAGGACCCCCTCATGTCAATCCTGAGCTATAAATATTCTCTTTTATTAGCTTCTTTCTTTTCATACACTGAGTTATTCCAGAAGTTAAATATTATCACCAGATCTAACAATCCAGTTTCCTTCCACGAGTCTGGCTCTTTTCCTTTCTTTGGCGGTGTTATGACAACCAGGCGTGGGAAGCCGTCATGCCATTGACTGTCCAGCGTCTGTTTCCTCTGCATTTATGCCTGGATCATAGATTTGGGTCACCATCGTTGTGATTGGATTGGGTTGCGTACAAATCGAATTCATTCTATCGTTTTGAGGTCAGCGTGCAAGCATGCAGGCAGTCCTTGACGTACAACCACAATGGGGACCAGAATTTCTGTCGCTAAGCAAGGCGGTTGATCGGTGAATTGTGTGCCCAATTTTACCACCTTTTGTTGGCGATGGTTACTGCAGTTCACTGCAGTTTGTTAAGTGAATCACGCGGTTGTTAAATAAGTCCACTTTCCCCCCACTGACTTTGCTTATCGGAAGCCAGCTGGGAAGGTCGCGGGAGGTGACCCCGGGGCGGGGCAACCGTCCTAAGTACCTGCCAGTTGCTAAACCTCTGAATTTTGATCACGTGACTATGGGGATGCTGCAAAGACGCAAGTGTGAAAAACAGTCCTAAGTCACTGTTTTTTTTTTCCCAGGGCTGTGGTCACTTTGAACGGTCACTAAATGAACTGGTTGTAAGCCGAGGACAATCTGTATTCCTTCCTCCTTGTCAACGCTGCTAATATCGGATGTTCTGCATTGATAACAGAGGGAAATGGAGCCATCTTTTTCCCTTTCGCTTTTAGAGTTAGAGAAATTAGATGATGCTGGGGGGGGGATGTGAACGAGAGAGTCCAGCTAGACATAACAACACTAAACCTAGCATGAGAATCAAGGTTATTGTAACCAGAGCTGATAAGGAATTGGCGTGCTTCACCGCTAATTGGGGAATGTGATTTATGACTGTTAATTGGAGCAGGGAATTGTGCTTTGATACTATGTGCCCAGGGGAGAGGAATTCAGTTTTTGGCTTCGATTATGAAGTGCCGATATTATGCTACTCGAATAAAAGATCCTTTAGGTAAACAATGCCTCAAAGTTCTTTTGAAGAGTTTCATCTGTCGGAACCAAGACAGCCTCTTTCCACCCCACAATCCTCTGAGGTATCTGAACCACCCCGATGGTCATTCCGGAACCAGATTAAAATTGCTGTGTGAAGCCTGCCAGCCGTGGAGGCGTGCCAGTCTTTCCAGGAGGGCTTTTATGCATGCCTACTGGGCATGATGGAGTCTGTAGTGGGAAGCAGAATAACAGAGGAACAAAGTGGGAAGGGACCTGGGAGGGATTCTAGTCCAATGAGTAGAGGACGGGGGATAAAACATACCAAGAACGGTTGCAGAAATTGGGTAGGTAGGTCTAGTTCAGGGGTAGACAACCTTGGCTCTTTTATGACTCATGGACTTCAGTTCCCAGAATTCCTGAGCCAGCATGGGGGAACTATGGCCCCTTCATGACTTGCGGACTTCAACTCCCAGGATTCCTGAGCCAGCCTGGCTCAGCTTAGAAACCTCTCCCATTCCCCTCAGCATGGCTGGCTCAGGAATTCTGGGAGTTGAAGTCCACTAGTCATAAAAGAGCCAAAATTGCCTACCCTTGGATAGGCTCTCCTGCTTGAGCAGGGGGCTGGACTAGAAGACCTCAAAAGTTCCTTCCAGGATAGGATTCTATGAATTCAGGTCATTTATAGGGGAAAATGTGAATCCCAGAGAAGCACCGTTCAGGCTGAGGAAGAATCTAGAACAGGGGTAGGCCACCTTGGCTCTTTTATGACTCGTGGACTTCAACTCCCAGAATTCCTCAGCCAGCGTGGGGGAACTATGGCCCCCTCATGACTCGTGGACTTCAACTCCCAGAATTCCTGAGCCAGCATGGGGGAACTATGGCCCCTTCATGATTCATGGACTTCAACTCCCAGAATTCCTCAGCCAGCCTGGCTCAGCTTGGAAACCTCTCCCTTTCCCCTCAGCATGGCTGGCTCAGGAATTCTGGGAGTTGAAGTCCACGAGTCATAAAAGAGCCAAGGTTGCCTACCCCTGGTCTAGTTTAATGAAGAGAAGGACGAGGGGTGACATGATAGTAACCTTCCAATATTTGAGGGGCTGCCACTAAAAAGAAGGGGTCCACCTCTTCTCCAAAGCACCTGAAGGCAGGACAAGAAGCAACGAATGGAAACGCATCGAGGAGAGAACCAACCTAGAAAGGAGGAGGAATTTCCTGACAGTGAGGATAATTAACCAGCGGAACTGCTTGCCTCCAGAAATTGTGGGTGCTCCAACACTGGAGGTTTTTAAGAAGAGACTGGACAGCCATTTGTCTGAAATGGGATAGGGCAGTGATGGCGAACCTTTTGAGACCGAGTGCCTAAACTGCAACCCAAAACCCACTTATGCATCGTCGGGTGCCGGGTGGGTATGGCCATTGGCTGGGCATGGCTGTGGTCATAACAGCAGACTGGGTGGGACTAAAAAGTTCAATCAATCAATTCCAAGTTTGCAAGATCTTTTTTTTTCCCACGTGAGAAATTGAAATTGACTGATTGATTGAACCTTTTTTTTTTTTTTTTGCACACGGCGGCGAAGGCCTAAAGTGAAAAGGTTTTATAAAACCCAGCTGAAGGCCTGGGACTGGGGCGACCGTGCGCGTGCCCACAGAGAGGTCTCTGAGCGCCGCCTCTGGCACCCGTGCCAAAGGCTCGCCACCACTGGTATAGGGTCTCCTGCTTGAGCAGGGGGTTGGACTAGAAGACCTCCAAGATCCCTTCCAACTCTGTTATTCTGTTCACCCCCCTGCCCAAGCAGAGGCTCGATACCAGGGGTGGGCAATTACGGCACCTTTGCGCCCTGTGGGCTTCAACTCCCATCATTCCTGAGTCAGCCATCTCTTCTTGAATACCTCCAGTCATGGAGCAGCAGTTAGAGTGCAGTACTGGAGGCCACTTTAGGTGACGGTGTTCAGCAGGTCAGCGGTTCAAATCTCACCTGCTCAAGGTTGACTCAGCCTTCCATCCTTCCGGGGTAGGTAAAATGAGGACCCAGATATATATATATATACACACACATTGCTTACTGGTGTACACCGCTTAGAGAGTGCTTGCACTTAAAACGGTATATAAGTCTCATAAAATAAATAAATAAATAAATAAATGTCTGGAGGCAGGTAGTTCCACTGGTTAATTGTCCTCACTGTCAGGAAATTCCTCCTTAGTTCCAGGTTGCTTCTCTCCTTGATGAGTTTCCATCCCTTGCTTCTTGTCCTGCCTTCAGGGGCTTTGGAGAAGAGGGAGACACCCCCCTACCCCTTCTTTGTGGCTGCCCCTTAAATATTGGAAGAAAGAACTTGCGCTGGACGGCAGCCACCCTGGCTTTGGAGCTTCCCACCTGCCTGATTTGCACAGAAGTCGGAAACCAGGCTAAGCTGTAGTTCAAACTGGGTTTGGGACACAGCTGGTCCTCCTTTCTCCCAAACTGCCTGCCAGGCTCACTTCTCCCCATGCCAGGACAGCCGCGTGCGTCTGGCTCCGTCACATCCTAATGCATTTTCCAGGCCTGCCGAAAGGCGAAAGGCGGTTTCATCCGAAACAGAAGCCGCCTGTCCGGAGAACAAGGGTGCCTGTGTGTGTGGCAAGGGAAGGTGCGGTCGCACACACAAACCCGGGTGTGTAGGTGTGTGTGTTTGCATGCTCCGGGCTGGGCTGCTCCCTCCAGGGACTTTCCCTGGGGGGGGGGTGACTCAAAGGTGCTGGCAAGGGAGGAGGGAGTGGGTCTTCCACGTGCGTGTGCAAATCCTCCTTTTCAGCAGCTAAAGGTTGCCTTCGCACAGTTGTTGCCTGGCCCCTGCACAACACAAGCACGTTTCTAGCTGTGGGTTTGTCCGTTCTCAGTTGCATTCTTGGCCTTTGGGTTTGGGACTGCAGAAAGAAAGCACTGTGAGGGATCCATACAGTGTTGTTGTTTTATTTGTTGTATTATTTGGTCCGTACGGTATCAACCTTGTGAACGCTCAAGCTTCCTCCTCCCGTTAGGTATTCCAGATGGACAGGGATTAATATTTATATGTTACTTATATGGAAGGGTGTCGGTCTATACATATGTTGTATATAGTATGTTTTAAATGTGTGTTATGTAGGTGTGCACTCTGAGAGCACGGAACTAAATTTCATTTTTAATGTGTGCCGTTGTGCCCACAGGAAAAAAGGACAATAAAGGTCGGTCGGTCGGTTGGTCTGTCTGTCTATCTATCTATCTATCTATCTATCTATCTATCTATCTATCTATCTATCATCTATCTATCTTCCTTCTTCCATTATGTATTCAAGATAGACAGTGATTAATATTTATATGTTACTTATATGTCAGGGTGTCGGTCTATATGTATAATGTATATAGTATGTTTTAAATGTGTGTTATGTAGGTGTACACTTTGAGAGCAAGCAACTAAATTTCATTTTTAATGTATGCCATTGTGCCCACAGTAAAAAATGACAATAAAGGTTTATCTATCTATCTATCTATCTATCTATCTATCTATCTATCTATCTATCTATCTATCTATCTATCTCTTTATATCCATCTAGCATGTCTTTATCATATCTCTCTCTATCATCTATCTATCATCTATCTATCTATCTTGCATGTCTTTATCATATCTATCATCTATGTATCTATCATCTATCTATCTATCTTGCATGTCTTTATCATATCTATCTATCTATCTATCTATCTATCTATCTATATCTTATCTATCTTATCTATCTATCTTGCATGTCTTTATCATATCTATCATTCATCTATCTATCTGTTTTGCATGTCTTTATCATATCTATCTATCTATCTATATCTTATCTATCATCTATCTTGCATGTCTTTATCATATCTATCTATCTTGCATGTCTTTATCATATCTATCATTCATCTATCTATCTATCTGTCTTGCATGTCTTTATCATATCTATCTATCTATCTATCTATCTATCTATCTATCTATCTATCTATCTATCTTCCATCCATCTATCTTGCATGTCTTTATCATATCTATCTATCTATCTATCTATCTATCTATCTATCTATCTATCTATCTTCCATCCATCCATCCATCCATCCATCCATCCATCTTGCATGTCTTTATCATATCTATCTATCTATCTATCTATCTATCTATCTATCTATCTATCTATCTATCTATCTTCCATCCATCCATCTATCTTGCATGTCTTTATCATATCTATCTATCTATCTATCTATCCATCCATCCATCCATCCATCCATCCTTGATGTTCTCTGAGCTTGCTCATTTTCTTGCAGACATTTCATTACTCTACTAGGTAACATCATCAGTGCTAGAAAGCACTATGTAGATCAGGGGTGTCCAACTTTAAGACTTGTGGACTTCAACTCCCAGAATTCCCCAGGCAGCTACTGTATGTTGGGAATTCTGAAAGTTGAAGGTCAGAGATGCCCAGGTTGGAGATGCCTGATGTACAGGTCGTCCTTGGTTTACAACCATTCATTTAGTGACTGTTTGAAGTTACAACAGCACTGGAAAAAGTGACATGACCGTGTTTCACACTTATGACCGTTGCAGCATCCCCGTGGTCACGGGATCCAAATTCAGACACTTGGCAACTGACTCATGTTTATGACGGTCGCAGCGTCCCCCGGGGTCATGCGACCCCCTTTTGTGACCGTCCTACAAGCAAAGTCCATGGGGAAGATGGATTCATCGAACAGCCCTACAACTGCAGTGATTCACTTAACAACTGCAGCCAGAAAGGTCGTAAAATAGGGCAAAACGCACTTAACAACTGTCTTGTTTAGCAATGGAAATG